CTCAGATTTGCTTAAAGAGCTCAAAGGAAGTTGAAGGGAAAGATATTTGTTGCTGTTGATTGTGTGATTTAGGTCAAAGTTGTACTTTAAAGCCATTAAAAGGAAATTTCTTATTTAAATGATGTTTGCATTGAGTAGAACTCTTAGAATGACAGTAGACTTTATGAAACAGTTTATTCGTATCTCTTTTCGTTCTTAAGATATTGAAGCTTTGTAATGACCGTTTTACACAACTAATGACGTTACATTAGCTGCATAATAACAAATTATATTATCACGAATATTTGCTGACCTGTTCTTTCAACTAGACTGAGTTCCTATTGTTGAAAAGTGTTAATGATATAAAATACTGCATAAGCACTTCCTCCAAAAGTTGTAGGAAGGATATTAGAGTACGACGTTTCGTCTAAAGGCTCTTTTCCACACATCGCAAAACGTACTTGCAAGCTCGCTGTGAGTGCCTGCGAGTTACTCGCAGCGAGATTACCATGACTTGCAGCATAGTTAAATTATTTGAAAAAAATTTGTTGTTCGCGCGTACAGACTCGCAAGCTCGCAGCGAGAGCTCTTTGCGATGAGTGGAAAAGAGCCTTAAGACGCCGTGAAGTTTTCGCGAGGGATCTGGGTCTAGGACGCCACCACGTCGTAAAGTATTTACGATTTAGCAAATCTTTTCAAGGACTTCGTCAAATGATAGTATGAAACAGGTTTCATCCATTTCGGCATTTTCCTGCTGGCCTGTTTTTTCTATCCTTTTAAACTATTTTTTTGATATTAAAAACATACTGCAGTATATTTATTTCAATAAAAACTATAAATAAAAGGAAAATCATCAACATACGGATTTTTGACTAAAATTGTTTTGACTCAAGGAAACCCCGAAATTAGAGCAGGCTCTCCAATGTTTATTTGTTTGTTTTTTACGCTTTAGGAAACATTGTGTTTGCAAAATCACTCTATTTCTAAATTTGCAGCGACTCATGTAATATGACGTCACTCGTTGTGTAAATAAACTGTTTTAGAAAGTCAACTGTGATTTTAAGAGCTCTCGTCAATGAAAATATTGTTTAGCAGCAAAATTTTCGTTTTATTGGCTCGCGATCTCTAAAGCTGTTCATTTCTTTTTGTTTATGATTCCTCCATTTCCTGTGGTTGATTCATGACCAATGGCATTGTTTTAAAGATATTTTAAATTTAAAATTACCGGCTGTATTTTATTTTGCCTATCCTTAAATCAGCTTGCCATATTGGACAGCACATAGAGGTCTCACTCACTTAGCATGATTTTTGTGGTGAACGCAACTTATAGAAAATTTCTTGCAAAATTGAAGCCGGTTGTAAGTCCGCCCAAGTCAAAGTTTGAGACCCACTTTTCTATAGATTTGTTTTACGGATTCGCTGGGTTTTTCAATATTTTGTTTTCCACTTTTTGATCCGACCAATTTTCTTATCACAATTATAGAAAGATGTGAAGAATATTTTGGACGAATTTTTTTCGTTATTTCGACTCCACGACGCTTTGAAACTTGATCGTTAACTCTGTATTTCGAATCGATTTTCTGTTAAGAATCATCCGCCTTAAATTTAGAATAAGCTTGTGCATTATCGAATTTGTTCATTCCAAGTTTCACAGCGTTGAAACCCAAACTTTCCGTCCAAAATTTTCTCCGCGCATTTCTATAGTTAGGATAAGAAAATTGGTCCGATCAGAAACACGGAAAAGACAAAATATTGCAAAAACTATGAATCTGTAATACAAATCTATAGAAAAGTGGGTCCTCAACTTTGACTCGGGAAAATTTACTTTCGGTTTCAATTTTTTGCGTTATCCAATCTATTTGAGATACGTGTTTTTTGTCACAAAAGTCGTTTGACTTCCGGTATCGCCGCCATAATGAAAGAAAGCCTTTGGGAAATTTCACTTAGAAATACTATTATATTGTTGTTAAAAATATAATTCTCAGCGTTAATATTGCATTGTTCATCAAGTATTTTTCAACAAACATCTAAGCACTTCGAAGAACCAAGAAGCATTGGACTTTTATTAAGTTATTCGATGTTAAAAAAATCGATTATGAATACGTCTAACAGATATTGTACATAAAAAGTTATACACCCAAGTTATCAATAGTATATAACACAAAAAAAGTAAAGAAAAAGTCTCGCATAAGGCATTATGCATTTCTAAATGTTAAAGCGCCATAGTATGAACAATAAATACGAAAAACCGATATTTCACTATAATTGTCGATATGATGCCACGTTGAACGAGACCTCTCAACATGGCGTCTTGGAGACAAAAATTTCAATGCTCTGACGAGAGTTTGTGATCTCTATTCTTTGCTATAAGTGATATAACAGTGGTTTATGTTAACCCCGTGAAATGTGTTACTCCTGGGGAAAATCTATTTGAAGATGAGCAAAAATATTGGCAGTGTTATTATGTATTGTAAATATATTGAATACAACCTACACTAAACAGTCTCAAGTTTATAAACTGCATATTAGTAAACAATCGACTCTATGGCATTTTCATAGTTCATGCGAAGTTTTTAGATTGTGTAGTTTTCAAACATTACTGCTTGAGAGAATTTAAACGTCATAAGACAAAAATAAAGAATCTTTTGCACATAGAAATTCTATAGTTTTAGATACCTTCGATGGTAAGAACATTGTTTATATCTACATCATCGTACGAATCTCCATTGAGTTTTATTTTCGCAAACGATTCAAACGATTACTATTTATGTTATTATATTATTATACTAACTTACTAAAGGAAGGAGTAGGTTGCTGGTAAAAGACATGGTTCTTTTGCCAATAATATATTGTAGGCGCTTTCTTCCAAGGTGAAACATATTTTACGGGATAACACTGTGACAGAGCAAGAGCTTATTTCTTAGAAATCGTTTTCATGGAATTTTTTGTATGAAAAACGCGAAAATTCAGAGCGTTAAAGATTTGAAATGATCATGTCTTACAGTTGCCATGTGAAACTCTCGAAATGTTTACGATTCACGAATAGCGTTTGTTTTTATTATATTTTTGTATTCTTAGCGTTCGTAAGATGTGTAGTTTTAAAATAAAATAACCTACCGCCAAGGCCGATCTTTTTCGAAAATATAGGCCATTCTTCGACCAATCTATGGCAATATAACAAATGCACAACATGTCTTCTCTATATCAGTAATTTTACGGCTGTTGATGTTTGCGTAGGTCTTCAAACTATAGATTGCTGTATAACACAGTTGGGGTTTGCATTAATTGAAAAATCAACATGGCGGAACAAGACGGCAAAAGCATTGTGAATTATATTACGAAAATTAGCTTTTTGCATGTCTTGCCAGTGTATTGTTTGTAAAGTTATCCAATCAAGTTCTATAAAAAAAGAAATATACTGCGATCACGCAATTTTACATGCATGTATATTTTAAATGAGAACAAGCAACATACAAAGTTAACAGTTTGTTAGACGACTGATAGTAAATCGTATTAAAGATCGCAAATACCATGGTGAATGGTAATAGTAATAAGTTAATAGTTCTTAAAAGAACTGTTTTAAGCACAGAACATTAACCCAATAGTTCTAAAAAAAATGTTATAAAACTAAACCACACGATGCATTTCGGCAGACTACTCCTCAAGTGTCAACGTCTGCTAAATAAAAAGTACGACAAAGTCTCTATTTTATTATACATATAGTAGCAAACAATAACATAGAGTACTCTCTTTTCTGCAGTGTGAGAAGATTTACCCTCATCCAAGATGCCTGGAATCAACATCCGTAATGAAGATCGAGAAAAAATCAACGCGAAGTATATTTGTACTCGCTGTAATCTCCTCCTTGTCAATCCAATGCAGACAATGTGTGGACATTTGTTTTGTCAATCTTGTATGAACATTATACTAGGGTAAGATAATTTTCTATCAAAACTGTCAACTGAAAAGGTGGTTTAAAGTTGTCGATTAAATGGATTATTTGCAATGTTGTATCTCATCCAATGTTGTATCGTGTGTTACAACCACAGGTACAGTATGAGCTGATGTGTGATCATATATCCTAAATTGCAATGTGGATTTACATGCCCCTATGTAGCTTCTCTTATCTAGGCGTCGTGATTTTTTATCTCTATGTGGTATCTTACATTTCATTTATACACGACGTATCCCGAAACTCTGACATCGATAATGTCAGCAGCGTTCATTTTTGCGTGTTATACTTCATTTAAACATGATAATTAGAACCTCCCAAAAAGATTTTAATATTCTAAATTTAAGTTCATCATATACCGAATATTGTCTGTTAGGTTTCTCAACATGATCTCTGTTTTAAATTTAACATTTTTCTACTTATTTCATGCTCTTTTAATCTGTAGAGATCCTGATCCAAAATGTCCTGAAGATCAAGAAAAATTGAGCCGAAATGATGTAGGTGAAAATATTCTAAAGTTTTAAAAGGAAACTTCCATACAGCTGTATCAATTGTTTATTAAGAAACTCCTGTACAAAGAGCTTCCATTCTCAACATCTTCATCTACCAATATGCAATTATTACACCAACCTTTGAACTTCTATGAAACTTATATACAGGTTTTCCCTGATACTTTTACGAAACGTGAGTTGAAAAGTATTCGTTTACATTGTCCTTCTGAACAGTGCAAATGGTTTGGCTCCTACGAAGAATTGGAAGTGAGTTGAGTTGATAAATTTATTAAAAAAGTTTGGTATTTTTACTTATTAAGTTTCTTTTGTGTCAGGGTCATTATCAAGTTTGTGAGCATGCGCTCATCAGCTGCGTACATAAGCAGTGTAACATACAATTACCTCGCTCTCTCCTTGGCGAACATTTGAAGAATGAATGTGAATATCGAAATGTAAAATGTGAATATTGTGGTAAAGATGTCCCGTATGCTTCACTTAAGGTATGCAGAATATTCTCAGGCGGATTAAAGGAAAATAGAATGGAGATATAGCCAAAAGTGCTAATCTGTGTTCATTACGATGTATTTATACCCGTTGGGTCATATTGTTGGACTTTTTTCCACAAAAAACAGGAGTAAAATAAATGAGCGCTTTCCTCCTGTTTCAATATTTATAAAATTGTAAGACTTTAAGCGTCATTATATTTTTGTCTATCATTTGTTACCAACCATCTTTCTATATTTCAAGACATTATACTGAATTTTACTTTCTAAGTTTTTGTTTGCTTCATTTAACACGTAGGATCACGAAGAAAATGTGTGTGAATATTATCCTGTGGTTTGTAAATATTGTAAGAAAAAGATACCAAGGAAAGATATTGAACAACATCAAAGTACAAACTGTGATGAAGTGCCGACTAAATGTGAATTTCAAGCTATTGGATGTAACTATGATAAAGTAAGAGAATATAAAGTGATTTATTATCTCATGTTAGCAATGAAATATTCAACTTTGAAACTGTTTCTAAACAAAATTTTCATCAAACACCCTTGACATGATTCTATATTTGTACTGTTGAATTACAAGTTAGCATACTTGATTTAATCATTTTATTATTGGTTGTAATAATTTTATTAGATTTAATTATGTTTAAATATTTACATTTAATTATATTTGTTTTGAAACAACGATTTATTGTAGCTAATTTGTAATTTTGTGTCAGGAATATGTTGGTATTATCTTTGTCTTTCTTTCCACAGACCATTAAACGAAGGGAGATCCGTCAACATATGAATGACAATTTAATTGATCATGTGAGCCTCCTGTTACGATATGTTATGGCATTTGTTACACAGTTAAGTAACTATGTACCACGTCCAGAGTTTACTACTGCTGTTCAAAACATGGGTGACCAAGTTACTGCTGTTCGTGCAAATCTTTCAGAGAAATTTGTTATGTTAGTGGGCAAACTTACAGGTCTAGAAAGGAGAATTGAGAATCTCGAGGCTCGTGGTGATAACGATAGTAATAATGCCAACTCGTCATTAGAAGTTTCTTCGATGCGTGATAAAATTCCAACTCTCGAACGACAAGTGAGAGAAAATTCCTCAACTTTACTACGATATCGTGAGCGCTTAGATCAAATTGATGAATCACTCGCGAGAAACACGGTGAAGATTACCGACCTTGAAGCGCAACGTGGCTCGCGTGCACTGGGGTCGAATCAAGCCATACACAGCTACAATGGTACGTTACTTTGGAAAATAGATAACTACAATAGAAAAGACAGGACGCCATTAATGGTATCAAAACAGCCTTGTACAGTGCACCATTCTACAGTTCTCAATATGGTTACAAGATGTGTGCTAAGATCTATATGAATGGTGATGGTTTTGGAAAGGGAACTCATTTATCTTTGTTTTTTGTTGTCATGAAAGGTAAAAGCATTTCAGTATTTTTAATTTCTACCGCCTTAAATTTGTCGGGGGCCTTGTGTTGCGGGTTACATTTCAATATTTTCTCGTCAAATGACTCTGAAGATGACTACCGCTAAGGTTGTCGAAACGTCAGTCAACAACAACAAAACAGTCTTTCTCAGGACTATACCAACCTGGACGATCTACATTTACAAACATGTAACGATACTCCCGGGTTCAAACCATTTAGTTTTTTACAATAGCTATGTAATAATCTAAGATTAAACAAGATGCCAACTCAGGCCATCGAACTATTCAAACAAGTACGAACGATTCAGACGATACCCAACATTATCACTAGTACGCAAACTTAACGGCACGATCTTCTCTATGAGAAAATCTAACATTATATCTGAACGTATTTACTATCGACTCAGATGTTCAGTACCACGACCACCCAGACTATACGGACTACCAAAACTTCACAAACCACAAATACCCATGCGACCAATTGTATCATTCTGTGGTTCGTCTACTTACGAACTCTCAAAGTCCTTGACGGACATACCGCAACCACTTACAAGCAAATCAAAACACAAGCTACAATCTACTGAAACTTTCATTAAAAAACTGAGCACTATACAAATACAGGACAACTATATACTAGTGTTTTTGATGTGAAATCACTGTTCACCAGTATGCCACTTAATCTGGCACTCACTTGTACAAAAACCCTCATTACAAACACCACGTACGTACTGCCATTACCGACAGAAGACATTATGGAGCTACTGTAGCTCTGCCTCACCTAGACTTACTTCCAGTACAAATACGGCTAACCGGACGTTTACTCCTCATTTGACTCTGAAAATGAATACCATTAAGGTTGTCGAAACGTCAGTCAACAACAACAAAAACAGTCCTTCTCAGGACCATACCAACCTGGACGATCTACATTTACAAACATGTAACGACACTTCCGGGTTCAAACCATTTACTTTATTACGATCATTTGGACGACAGAGCGAACAACTTGCTAACGACTATGTACGTTTTGCAAGCAACGTCAGACGCAGACGCCAACAACTCTGGTTCAACCACCGCTGCAAGGATTTTGGTCTCATTCCGGCAGGACTTAGAATTAAGTCCCCGTTGAACACACAAGAGGCTATTCAGATTGTCAAATCCACCAGCAGACGACTGATACGAGCACGGATTAGCGACTGTCACAGACGAATCAACTATTACATCAAGCAACAAGAACAAAGACTGAACAAACTGAAGGAACTCATACCAACGACAGTAAGTGATACTTTACTTTCTACGATACAAACTATTGCAGAGAAACGAGCAAACAAGACAGAAACACAACACCAAATCAAACAACAACAAAAAGTTGAACGTTTAAAACGCACTAAAACACGTACAAGACATAAACATGACGATAACTGCGTGAGGAATATTTCTTCCCGCTCATTAGACGAAACTGAAACACGACTACTATCTTACGGACTAAAATATTGCATAACACCTAGACGAATCCCGACTGAGACGATAGTCTCAAGTGTCGAAGCTGTCCTAGCGTATCAAAGAGACTTGTTAGAGACAACTATAGACGAGATCAGAAGCAGGGTAGCCTCCGCTTTTTAATCGTCTTCTATACGTGACAAAAACTTGACTAAGGACGAACAACAAGCACGCAAACGACTAAAACACGACAACAACATCGTCATTTTACCAGCAGTCAAAGGACGTGTGACTGTGGTCATGGACAGGAATGATTTCTTCGACAAATTGGGCAACCTTGTTAACGACAGACAAACGTACGAACAACTCAAAGGAGACCCAACACCATCACTAGTACGCAAACTTAACAGCAAGATCTTCTCTATGAGAAAATCTAACATTATATCTGAACGTATTTACTGTCGACTTAGATGTTCAGTACCCTGACTACCCACACAGTACGGACTACTACAACTTCACAAATCACAAATACCCATGCGACCAATTGTATCATTCTGTGGTTCGCCTACTTACGAACTCTCAAAGTCCTTGACTGACATACTACAACCACTTACAAGCAAATCAAAACACAAGCTACAATCTACTGAAACTTTGATTAAAAACTGAGCACTATACAAATACAGGACAACTATATACTAGTGTTTTTTGATGTGAAATCACTGTTCACCAGTATGCCACTTAATCTGGCACTCACTTGTAAAAAAAACCTCATTACAAACAGCACGGACGTACTACCATTACCGATAGAAAACATTATGGAGCTACTGGAGCTCTGCCTCACCTAGACTTACTTCCAGTACAAATACGGTTAACCGGACGTTTACTCCTCATTTGACTCTGAAAATGAATACCATTAAGGTTGTCGAAACGTCAGTCAACAACAACAAAAACAGTCCTTCTCAGGACTATACCAACCTGGACGATCTACATTTACAAACATGTAACGACACCTCCGGGTTCAAACCATTTACTTTATTACGATCATTTGGACGACAGAGCGAACAACTTGCTAACGACTACATACGTTTTGCAAGCGACGTCAGACGCATACGCCAACAACTCTGGTTCAACTACCGCTGCAAGGATTTTGGTCTCGTTCCGGCAGGACTTAGTATTAAGTCCTCATACGAAGTAAAAGTAAACCATATTCAAGAAAATAATAGCTTTAGTCGCAAATGCTTGCTGTGTGAGACTTTTGAACATTGGATCGATCAGTGTGAAAGATTTCTGGAGATGAATCAAAAGAACGCTTCAATCTAGCTCAAGAAAAGCGATGTTTTTTCGTCTGTTTAAAACCAGCTGGTAGAAGTCGTAATGCCTCCACTTGCTCTCGCAGGCGCCAATGCAGTGAAATGGTAAATGGAAGTCAACGCAAGTTCTTTCACCACCCATTGTTACACACCAACCAATACACTTCTCAGGTATAATCTGTCACAACAAATGGCGAAACAATGTTGCCATCAATTCTTGCAGAAATAATCGGCTCTGGCAATAGAAAAGAACAAGGAAACTTGTTACTTGATAGTGGATCTCAAATAAGTCTCATATGTCGGTCACTTGCAGAAGAAATTGCTCTGAAAGGGATAGCTGTGACAATAACAATGGCGAAAGTTGGTGGAGGGGAAGAAGAAATTGCAACAAAAGCATACAGGTTTCCCGTTCAGTCTTTAGAAAATCATTCTACTCACATGATAACTGCCGTTGGTTTACCATACATCGATAATGACATGGAAAATGTCAAGCTGGAAAGTATAGAACTCAGGTTTGGTCTTGATAGAGGAAAGATCAGAAGAAAAAATGGGCCTGTCGATCTTTTGGTAGGAATAGACCACCAAAAGCTGCATACTGGGAACGAACGTAATTGGCAAGCTGATCGCAAGAAAATCACCATTGTGATGGGTTGTGTATTATTTGTTTTAATATTTTTTTATTATTCCTAGGTGATTACGATGCACTACAATCATGGCCTTTCCAAAAGAAGATCACAATGATGTTAATGGATCAAGGAAATGGCGATCACATGATTGATGCTTTTCATTCAGATCCTCAAAGCTCCTCATTTCAGCGACCAAGGTCTGATATGAATATCGCTTCTGGATCACCACTCTTTATGCCATTGGAAAGTTTAAATAATCGTCAGTACATCAAAGATGATACATTGTTTATAAAAATGATCGTCGACTGAGTTTACAGCTACTGGAAATGATATCTCATACAAAAATACTTTTCAAGAGGAAGCTATATTTCATGAAAAATGCTTTTGAAGTGAAAGTTCGAAGTATGAGAGTAGATTCAGACTTTCTTCCAAAAAGTTCGAAAGACCAATGCAATCACGTTCGTGTGTTATTTATTTATTGAACAACAAATGCTTAATTTTGCTTCTTTAATTTTGTTTAATTTTTGAAAGTATAAACTCGTTTAAAAAGAGTGGGGCTTTATTCTTGAGGTGTTTGAGATGGTTTGGAAAAAAATTGGGATTATATTTTTTCGGCTAACATCACTTCTATGTCTAAATCTAAAAAAAGAATAAGGATTTTACGCTCATTTAAGTTGATATTGTTTAAAATCAGCTTTTTTTGATAGATGACTTGGATTGATAAATGATTTACAGAGTTAAATCTTTACCACCATACGCTGAAATGTGTACAAATTTACATAGTTTAAGGATATAACTTGATTAAAAGTTGTGTATAATCATATTTAGACGTGTGATACATAAAACTAGATAAATTTTGGTGTAAGATATATATTTCTTGACTTACTAAATATACCCATTAGTTGTGTTACTGAGAGAAAAATTAAAACTATGCATATTCCGTAGTCCAAAATCAGTTTCAATTTAGGCAGCAGATGGTTTAGCCTGTGAATGGGATCATCTTGAAAAAGTAGGCTTGTCGGATGATTGTACAAAATGTTCAAGTCATAACTTCTACGAGCATCTTGATAGTTTACACTCAGGAAAACAATTTGCACTCCTCGTTTCTTGACTTCGAAGTAAAGTAATAATCAAACACTTGAATAGGTTCCTGCAGAAAACAGGACATGCGTCTTGGGTGATGGGACGAATTCAAGTCTTATAAAAGGTTAAAAACTTCTTTGCAGCTATCGTGCCTCGTTTTAATCGCTTCAAAAAAATACAGCCTTTCTTAAAAATTACGATGTACGAAAGGCTTTCATAAATAATTCCATTTATGATTACTGGAAATGTTCAAACCTAGCAATGCTAGTCACAACTAGTATAGGTTTGTCAAGCAGAAGTAGATAAGCGTTTGATTTGAGTTGAGTGAACGACGTGTCATTTTTCACAAGATGTTTCAATAACTATATATCAATTGAAGTTTTGAACTGAGTTCATGTCGAGGTTTCTTACATGTACGCACGTACCTATTTATTCAAAGTTCACGTAAGTGCGCAGTAATCATGATATATTTGCCACGTCATATGCCGTTGCCAGATACAAACTTCTCTAGGAGAGTGCTCTTCCTGAAAAATTTTAAATTAATGGTCCCTCGATAGAGATTTGACGTGCTTTTTGGGTTGAATTCTCCATAATTTGCTGAAAATAGACCGTATTCCCTGGACGATTTTCGTTCAGTTTTGTTGCCCGCTCTCCGGCACTACTTTTATTTTATGATATCCTTTTCCGACGAACTTTTGCATCGCGATAAGAAGAACGAAAACATCTGCATATTTAGATTGCTCATTTAAACTATATTGTGGTCAGGGACTATTTCCTTGTCGGAGGATGAAATAGATGCTGAATTTGAGAAAGCAAATGCTTGGCGCCTTCAAACTTTTAGTTGGTGTAAGTGTGGACATTGTACTTTGTCGAAAAAGGCAATCGAGTGTTTATGTTTCCATGAAAAAGCGCTTGAATACGATGAGTATCTAGGCCAAACAGAAACTCAAGTAGAGTATTGCTTGACAACACACCAAGAATTTAGGGACAACATGCTGTCAGAAAGTGTGTGTGAAAGATAGACGTGTGTGCTTTCACGGAGGCACAGAATATATACTATACAGAAGTTCCACTCTTGAGTTAACTTGTCGCTAATTTTTTATGCGCATGCTCCAATTCCGCCATCTTCCTGGCCAGTCATTAGGGACCTTAAGATTTCACGACGCGCGTTACAACGACGCGAGTTTGGCACGCATGGCCAGGTGCGAATGCGTCCGCGTGTCATTGTAAGTTAAGTCATTAAGATTGGATTTCCTTAACGACGCGAACTTGTGAGTTTACTACCTATACTTTCAAAAAAATGGCCTCCTTCAAAAAAACAAAAAATGCTATAGCTGTTGCGTATGACGCCGCTTTGATAAACGAAGAAGAATTTGCGCTTTTGTATGATATTTCGCGTTCAAAGAACAATTTAGAAATATATAGTGGCCAAAATTGATATATCAGTACCGTTATTACAAAGTAAGACAAATTTCAAAGCCACTGGATGTTAATTTAGCTAAACAATTAATTTAAATCACGATGAATTTAGTGGTGTGCTTGATGAGCAATCACTTGATGCTGATGAAAACTGTTCTGCCATTTTCTTGCCTTGCTAAAAGCAAAAATGTAAACATATTTTACTCACAGATAAATATCAACACATCAATCACATACCAGACTCCACAGACAATTGTAACAGGTGAATTAAAAGCTGAAATACTTACTTTAAAACTTTTTTGTGAAAAATTCCACACTCGATGTAGGACGACGTGGGATTAAGCAAAAACGCCGCGTTGTAGAAGCACGACAAAACTCAACGACGCACGCACATGCGCATTGGTTTAAAATTCATTTCCGCTCGCGTTGTAGATGAGCGCGTCGTTAAATCTTAAGGTCACTAATAGCTGGCAGCAGAGCCCTCTATAGTATAAGAGTTGGGACAAACGGTCTGGGGCGAGCGCAGAGCCGCCATTTTGGTTCCTACTTGCAAAGTGAAACTATAATAATACTATTGGAAATTGGGTTTATATGCAAAAGAAGAAAGCAATTTAAGCTTATTCCATGGTAGTATCAAATATATTAGGAATAATTGCAAGCTCTTTGCGTTTTTTTAACGATTTGCGGCAGACCTGATTTAATTTCATTGGTTTGAGCTTCGTTTGCGGTTTACTAGTTCGTGATTCAAATTGATCGTGACCCATTGTAAGAAGTATTTTTCGTAAGTGAACGTGTTTTCTCGGCTTATGTTCCGACTCTGTAACAAGTTTTCAAGATCTTTAAGCTTGGTGGCAAGCGGCAATGTTATCCTGGCATCAGTGTTATCAAATACTTGGACAAGACTTTGTTCGAAACTTTGAATCATAGTAATCATGCAGATTTGGTCAGGAGAGATTTGTGTTCAAGATTTGTAACAATTTAATGGTAGTGAGTGATTTATGCCCCCAATTTAATCCAAGCATGATATTTTTATTCTGAAAGATCACAAAATTTTCTTGCTCAGCAGAAAATGACAGACTTTTTACTTTTAGTTATTGAAATATGCAATGATTTGACCAAGATGCATTTGACCTTAAACGTTTTATTCCTGTATATGAAGTTATTTCGCCTTTATCACTTTATAAAGTATTAAAGTTTATTTCTAATAAAGTTTGTTAGGGATTCTGCTGAAAATTTTGGTGAAGCATTTCTTTAAAATGAATATATTATTTCTATAATATGACTGTTGAAGAACAGTCTGTTTGCTATAAATGCTACTGTTTGTAGTCTTTATACAGCATATGAGTCTGATCCAATCTTTAATTTAGCAAAGAGTTAAATTTATTGGTTGAGGAATGACAAAACTTCTATATGTGTTTAATGATCAAACAGGGTGTGTTGGAGGAGCTCAGCCCGTTTGTTCAAATTCTATGCCTTGTATTGCCAGTGAAATATATATATCAAAAAGCTAGCAGCACCTAAATATATATCAGAAAGCCGGCAATATTTTAATATATATGAGAAAGGCAGCAACAGTTGTAATATACATTAAAAAGCCCAAATAGCTGAAATTATGGAGATATGCCTCTGTGATCTTATAAACCAAAACCTACAATTAAAATATCATCAACAAGTCTAGAAGAGAAGTAATGTTCTACTTTGAGCTACAGAAGTAGGGTACATTTGTACAATTCAATAAAAATATATTGTACTCAGCTGTTTCATTGAATATCCTAATTATAATTACTTCATTTTTAAATGATGAACTAAAAATACAAAATACAACATGGAAAATCATAAGAGTTTCTGTGATTTGGTGTAGTTGTTTTAGTATGGAAGTGGCTGAGAATTGAGAGGTTTGTAGATTGACCAATTTCAGAACATAATGAGAAATCATCTTCGATTAAAAAACAAGCTTTGGAGTAAGAAAACTATTGAAACTGCATCAGCACGAACTTTGCAATGTTATTTGGCCCAAAAATGTTTCTCTACTTGAGTCAGTTAATTGAACCTTATATCAAAAGCAGTTCAGCACAACAATCACCATATGCAATCAAATTTCGTAAGTTCGACGTAAAGGTATTTCTTTCATTTTTTTCGTAATCCTCGATTTATGCGATATGTAATGACATTTAGTAGCCTTCAACAATCAGTTATTACACACTTATCCATAAAAAAACGCAATATTATCTCAAAATACTGTATTACTAGCAGCAATTGCTGTATAAACACAAGCTAAAATTTCAAAACTAGGAACCAAAATGGCGGAAATTAATCAGGTGATCAATATTGCCCAATCAACGTAAGCTAAACGGATAACAATAGATGTCCCAACTCTTATACTATAGAGGGCTCTGGCTGGCAGCGGTATATAAAACTATATGGTAAGATGCGAAGTGAAGACTGGAAAACGTCGATTTTTTTCAATTGAGGTTGTTCAATCTGATGCGTAATTTATAAAATAGCAAAGGCAAGGTATGTTTTAACTTTTCTGGAAGGTTTAAGGAATCTCAGTCGTACTTTATGCCGACTCATCGTCATCGCATGTTCGATTTGGTCAAACGATCACACTATGAATCTTTATGACACCATACGACTGAACTTTGATGATTGAACTACAGAACATTTATTTGGTGTTTCAGGATATTTTTCTGTGTTATTTAAGAAGAAAACATCCAGGAATATCTGCCAATTTAAAGCTGCACTGTTTAAACGATACCATTAAGACCAATATATTACTATAAATTGTATATAGTTATAGTTTTATTGAACATGTAATTAACATTTTATCAGTGGTTAGGTAGATAAATATACGATATATTAATCTTGTAAATGATCATATACCATTATAATGTATCTGAGAAATAGTGAATTGCATAAGAGCATACACACTGGCTGAACTGAAGTTTTGTATTGTTGTTTAAATTTTGGTCAATTACAAAGACAGACATGAGCTAATTGAATGATAAGATAATTTATTACTTACCTTTGGTATACAAATAAATCTTAGTTGGACTAAAAAATAACTTTGACCATGACAAATGGCATCTATGCTGTGTGTTGTAGCAATAGTTGGTAGTTGAGTAATGTATTCTTGCAGTAAATCTCATAGACCAAATTTCCACTATTTATTTTATTTTAATAGAATCCTTCTGCTGTAGTTTTTTACTAGAAATAAATATAAACTGTATGGTGGAACTGTCCTGAGAATTAAAAGCAATGATCTTTAATTTTGTGAATTGTCTTGAAAACCTATGCTCATATTTTATTTTCCTCGTAAACTCAAACAATGCTCAACATTGCTGAATTGATGATTGTATATGCTTTATCTGTAATAGTAGTTTGTTCCTACAGTTTGTTCCTAAATATGATAATTCAAAGTGGAAGTGGTAAATGGAAAACACAATTTACAAGTACTTCTTGCAAACTTTACATAACATCAGCTGTGGATTCAAACATTAATTAATGTCTGTTACATGATAGCAACTACTATCATGTAATATCATTATTATATCATATTATAATTTCATATATTACTGCACAATTCTTCATATTATAATTTCATATATTACGGCACAATTCTGCAAAGCTGACTCAAGCATTCCTGTTTTGATTTCTCCATCTAAAACACAAAACTGATGATGTTGAGACAAGGGATTACAAGGAAAAGGAGGTTGGTGACAATTTAATGAAAGAGAATCCAATTGCTTATGTAGCTGGATACTTACTCCAGAAATATTTTGAAAAGCACAAGTGTTCCATATGTGAGTCAGTTATGGTCACAGACCAACTTGATGATAGCAGAAATCTGCTTTGCTACTTCAAGGCATATGAGTCAGACAAGAGCTTTGGCGGTCTCCTTGCACCAAAAGTAGCATTTCATGAATATATAAACAAAATTGAAGACATATTTGTCACAGAATTCTCCACTTATACAAAAAGTGTAGGTATTATGAAAAAGATTCTTCAGCAGCTACAAAAAGCTCCAATCCCATTTGAACAGTGCTCGCATTTTTCAATTGATTATCTCCTCAAACTCTTTCTAAGAATGAGGATTTACTATGCCATCAAGTTTGCGAATCGTGATCTATCAGCCGCCAAGTTCAAAAAAAATAAAAAGTACGTAAAAGTGACTCACCTTTAGAAGGAAAATAAATGAACCCGCATACACCTCGGATGAATCAAATGAAAGTGACCGTCAAGATTAAACGCTCAATACATTATGATGCAGGTCATCTGAACTTCTAAACTGCATCAAAGTGCCAAACCACTGTAAGTAAAAAATTCCAAGAGATTTCAAACTTAATGTCATTAACGAGGCAAAATAAGAAAAATTCTATTGACTGCAGTTTACAAAGCTGAGGAGCGGTCACAGTCACAGAACGAAATGTAAGATTTCGAGCTTTACAACACGTTTAATTACATTGTAAAAAAAGAAAGACATAGAATATACCTCAAATTTTGTCAAACTCTCGCTAGGAACAAATCTACGACCATATTGAAGAGATACAGGCAAATATTTGTACTTCTCTTTACAGTCCTTATATTGTTTATCAGAAATTGACTGGCTAGGAAGATGGCGGCCGAGATGCGCGAAGCAGCATGCGCGGCCCCAAAAACATCAAAGGTTCCGACAAGAGTGGAACTTCTGTATAGTAGGGAGTTTTAGCAAGAGTACGACTACGAGAACGAGTACGAAATTTGACCGTGTAAGAGAATGGCACGAGGAAGTTTGTTGTCGTTGTCGCTTCGTCAAAATTTAGTTTTAGCTATAAACAACATAACGAGCCTTTTTATTGTGAAAAACACCGACGTTTGCGAAGCAGCTACGGCTCTATTTGTCAATAATGATATCAACGAATCGATAATACTGGTTTTGCGAGAATATAGGACTCTTTAGACTGAAAAATCTTCACTATTTTAAGTTTTATGTACGATATATTTGTACTATTTTATTGTTTGTTTACTTTTCACTTTGCGTACGAAATACATGAAAGTTTTGCAGGTCATATTTTCCTTTTTAATGTACATCTGCGCTCAAAAAGGGTTCTAAATTAAAGCCTGGATGCTCGAAAATAGTACTGTAAACTAATTTCTTACAAAATGAAGAAATATACCTACTTTCTTTGCTTAAAAAGACATCGTAGTCGCGACTACGAATTTTTTACAAAACATCGTACTCAGATTGATGACGGCTACGTGGTTTTGTTGTCGCAACAATGTTTTCGCGCCAAAATGACGTAAATCGTACTCGTAGTCGTACTCGTAGGCTCTGCTAAAACTCCCTAGTATATATTCTGTGACGGAGGGGTTAAGCCCCTCCTTCCCCCCCCCTTGTCAACGTTACTATAAACATAAGACGTATTTCACTTGTCATGATTTTCCACTAAGTTCTAGATTAGTGACTTCACGAGAGGAACTGCTGTTATTTGTGTTGACGTTTTGCCATTCTTAGCGATAGTTATCCTAAAAGTCAAAAGTGAAGAGAAAATTGAGATAAATATCAAGTTTTCAGTGTTGCAACGTTTTGTTTATACGATATGATAATGTAGGCACGTTAACGGAAATGTGTGGCTGTGAAATGAAGATGACTACCGCTCTGACTAACGTCATTCAAAATCAACACCTTCTCAAGACTGAATGATATGCGTCTACAAACATGTAAACATACTGTCATGTTCAAACCATTTACTTTTAAAAACGTAATGAAATTTGCACAAACAACAAAGAATGCAAGAAAGTAATTTAATGAGTCATAAACGTCAAATTGTGAGTCAGCCCACGCCATCGTCAGAGTTACGTACATAGATTGTTCTTATTTTCCCAATTGACGTAAGTTTTTTGTATGTTATGAAAGCATAAAATGTTTCGAACATTATTACACTGCTTCATTATTATAGTTACTGTGATAGATTTCAAGATACGTCGCTTGAATTAATTTCGAAGTTTTGGACTTGTGAGTGGTAAGTGAAAAATATTGGCAATTTATATACATTCATACGAGTACATACGAGTATGTACGAGTGACATACGAGTACATACGAGTACATACGAGTGACATACGACTCTATACTGGTCATTAATGAGAAATAACACAATTGTACTTCAATAATACATTGATATTTGCGTTCACTTTTCCTTGTATTTGTCTGGACTCTGGGGCAACCATTTGATGGATTTAAATGCTGAAAAGGTATTTACTTTCAAACTACATTCATTTGTATGTTTCAGTTGAATTTGTTATACGTATTTTGTCGATGCGATTTGCCAGTATTTGAGCGCTTTTTGACACACTATATTTATGAAAGCGATAAAATATACAACGTATAAATAATGCCTTGAAAACGAGCTATATGAAATAAATGTATCTTATATATATTTGAATTAAATGAGAGTTGCACTGCGTTACGTATATGTGTCATATTATGCGTACAATTTCTGATTACTTTTACTTTTTTCAAAGTTCTAGCTGATGTAATTCAGTCTTTGAACTGTAAAATCAGTATCTTAAAGACTTAAATAAATTATTTATAAATTTTAAAAAAGAGACTAGATGTGAGCTAATGTGCAATCTGATTGATTCCTTACTAAACTACCTCATATTTCTTTGGTAGAATAAATAAAATGAATGCAACATTTGAGGAGCAAGTCCACATCAATTAATTATATTACAAGTACATCTAATTCTTATTTTTGTCCAAGATTTTTAACTTGTTAATATATTAATATAAGATTACAAATAGTGTACACGTGCGCTAAAAGTTCTCAGAATAACTGCTCAATATTTTTGTACAGAAGTTTACTTTATGGAAACTCCAGAGCAAGACTACTGTTGTTGATACATTTAAACCGTTTAATAGATTAAGACATTGTGCACAACAGACAATAAATTCAACTGAAACATACAAATGAATGTTAAATACTTTTTCAGCATTTAAATCTATCAGATGGTTGCCCTAGAGTCCAGACAAATACAAGGAAAAGTTAATGCAAATATCAATGTATTATTGAAGAAATTGTGCTATTTCTCGTTTGTGACAAGTATATAGTCATATGTCACTCGTATGTACTGGTATGTACTCATATGTCAGATGTATGTACTTGTATGTATTTGCATGTCAGTTGTATGTACTTGTATGTCACTCAAATGTACTCATATGTACTTGTATGTACTTGTATGTACTCGTATGTCACTCATATGTACTCGTATGTACTTGTATGTACTTGTGTGGTGTTTTAGTCACGATCAATAAATGAGTGGTTTTGTAGAATATGCGCCTTGTTGCAACATGAATGTTATTTACTAATCTTCGTTGGCGTTTCTCCCCTCTCAGCCTATGTCTTCTACTGATAACGCCAACCTCTACTTAGGGGCTGTTCACATGAGCCCAGTAGCCAAGATTCGGCGAAGCGTTAAATCATTTTTGCAAATGGAAAAGATTAAATACTCTTATGTCAGCAATTTCTCTATGCTCTGACTTTGCAAATTCACAAAAACTTTAAAATAGAAACAAATATTTTAGCCTGATTTGAAAGTTACCACTAAAATGACTTATGACGGTTAAGAATAGGTTGTAAGTTTTGCGTTTAACATTTTTACTCCTTTCAATGACTCAAATCATTTCACGCCGTGCTGAATCCCTGTTGCCGGTTTGATGTGAACAGCCCTAAGATAATTCTGAATATCACGCTTGACATTATCCAATAATTATTTATTATCAGAAATGAAAAATGAAATATAAATTTCTCACATAAGATTTGCAGTTTTAGCAGACCAAAAGTTGTCGAACTTTGTGTTTTTATACTTAAATAATGTTGCTTTAGCTAGTTTCACTGAAACTGGAAAAAGATATAAAGTATTTCAATATGCCAGGAATTAAAATCCGTGATGAAGATCGGCAAAAAATCAACGCGAAGTATATTTGTACTTACTGTCATCACCTTCTTGTCGATCCAATGCAGACCTCGTGTGGACACTTGTTTTGTCAATCTTGTTTGGATAACTTAATTAGGTAAGGTAGTTGTTTATCAAAACTGTCTACCAGAAGTGGTAATTTTTGAGAATTTTTGGATAGAATGCATTACTATCATTATTCCACATAGCAGAATATCGTTTCTTATCCTTATCCCAATGTTTATTTCTTAGTAGTATTGCGTCCCACTGCGAGCACAACCATTTACTATATTAATGATCACATGTATGACATTTCTTACCTTTATAGAACATTGTGAACAATGACCTCTTACAGGATAACTTTTCTTTTCTTTTCCCCGATCAACACCAAAATAGACCAGATTGATATACTTCTGTTCTTACGTCTATAGCTTTGCTACCTTTTCACTCCAGATGTCTACTTTTCTCCTTTGCATCATGTCCATCACATCTCCTACCACATTCACAGAATTCAAAGTCCCTACTTTTAGTCCTAAGCTCATATCTTTATTCTTATCATTCTGTCTACGTACCTATCTTTTTCCGCTCTTTCTTCGACCCTTTTCTCCTTGGTGTAATGTAGCAATACAATATAAAACCTTTTGCAATAGTTACACCTCTGGTTTCACTAACCATATGTGATATTTTTCATCTCGATCATTTATCCAATATTCAATTGTGCTTTTGTGTCTTATTATATTCATCCATCTAGAAATTTCATGTCATCATGTTTTTCAATTTTTTCCTGTTAGCAATATGAAGTATTATTGATGATGTAATGTTACACTATAATATTATTGCATGAAGTATTTATGTTATCTTAGCACATGTTATGTTATACGGGAAGCCATGAATTATTTTTTTCTATCAATTACATTTCTATTCTATGTATTCCTGATTTCTGATTGTAATGAATCACTCAAATATCAACAGGTTATGGGCCCAGGACGTAGAAGGTCATTATTTGAGTGAAAAGTCATTGCAATAAAATATATAGTCGAAATTTAAGCATGGCTATGTCGGATATGTCGAATGCGTTAAGGTTCGCGAAACTGAACGGCAGTAATTACCGCTCATGGGTTTTCAACATGAAGCTGTATTTGGAAAGTCTGGATCTTTTCGAGCATGCGGAGGGAACAGCTGAATTTCCAAATGAGGATGCTAGTGCTGAAACGCGAAGGAAGTTTAACTCGGCTGCGAAGAAAGCGTGGACGTACATCTGTTTGGCCATCGAGCCCGAGCAACAGATCCACGTGCGAGATACGAAAACTGCCAAGGAGGCATGGGATGCAATTAGAAATCAATTCGCACGAGAATCACTTCTTCAGAAGGTGAGACTACGCCAACAGTATTATTCCTGTAAATACCATATTGGAGATAGTGTGCTTGAACACATCAGCCATCTCAAATCGCTGCATGAGCAACTCAAGGAAATGGGAGTCAGCGTGGATGACAAAGAATTAGCTATGACGCTGTTAGCTAGCTTACCTGAGCAATACAAACCATTAATAACAGCCTTAGATGCCATGGGAGAAACAGAGATCTCTTTTGAAAAAGTAAAGAACTTAATTCTGAATGATGTGGACCGTACTAATGATTTGAAGAATACTAAGGAAGATGCATATTCTGCTCATAGAGGAAATTTTATTCGTGGTAGGAATCGTGGTGATAAAAATAATAAAAGGAAGAACGATGGAAGCAACAGAAA